TGGCATTTCAGAAGCCAACATAGGTACATACCAAGTTAGGTTTATGTACATGGAGGAAGTGGTCATGAGAAGCCACGGTAGCTGGGTGCCGCTTCACAATGAATGTGTTTTTAGAAATATACTCAGGGGACCAGCAGTTAGCATAATGGCCATATCGCTGGACTCCCACGTAGTCCACTGCAGTTCAAGTCCCGGACCCGGTGGCTTAAACTCACGCTGGGCGTGTGTGCATGCATGCCCAAGACCCTGTGAGGAGAATTGAGGAGAAGGGATTGTGGCGTGGCCATCCCCCCCTGGGGGTGATTTCTTGCTTTCTGTCTCTCTCTCTCTGGCGAGTGCACGCGCCCTGTAGCAAAAACCTCTCAAAAAAAAAAAAAAATCATGTCTTCTCCCATGAGACCCAATATTACTCACCTGGACTATTTCAAATGCTTCCTAATTCTTCTCTTTATATGCACGCTGGTTCTTAATAATCCATTCTCTTTTTAGAAGTTAGTATTATAAAGATTATAAATCAGATTATGTCACTCACCTGCTTAGAATTTCCCCATGGCCCCTTCTCTCAGCCCACTTTCTTCTTTTCATTACTATGCTGCAGCCATGCTGGCCTTCCTCCCATTCCTTAAATAGTCTATGCTCTTTCCTGGTACAGGAACTCTCATCTTTCATTTCTTGGCCTAAACATAACATTATCAGAGAAGACGCCTTGGATTCTCCGAGTTGGTTACAGCTATTAAACTCCCATATCACCACAGAAAATCAGTCACAAACATCTTGTGAACTACTGAATGACAAGAACTCCGAGTCTTGTGCCACCACTTAGCAGACATTTGACAATGTGTTAAATGAGTAAATAAACCACACTTTATAGTGAGGTATGTCTTATTTATTTGCATGCCTGTCACTTCCTACATGAAGTCAAGGATCACAAGTATTTCATTTGCCACATTGATTTCTGGTATAGGCCAGAAATATCCACTGTACCTGGCACACAACAGAATCCCCATATTTGTATTTGTTAAGTAATTGAGGGGTGGTATTTTGTGAGGTTATTTCCTTCTCTGAAGGTTGGGTAAAACAGAGACGCAGGGAGTCAGGAAAAGACATGAGACACCAATGTCACTTTATTTATTGGCTGAGTTCAGAGTGTGCTCACAGAGCTCTAGTAGCTCTGACAAGGTGCTTCCTCCTGCCTGGAGCTTGTAACATGCGTGAAGAGCACTTGCAGAGAGCTTCCTCTCTCTCAAAGCTCACAGCACAGAGCTGAGCTGAGCTGATCCAAGGCTGAACCACACCAAGGCCACGAGGGCTGAGCTAGTAGCACTCAGTCCGAGCAGAGCAGGGCTAGCTAGCTAGCTGACCCCCTTTCCCTTAAAGGGACTGTAGACAAAAAGTAGCTCATTGCCAAAACCAAACTGTCAAACACGCACATGAACATTGTGTGCAATGGTGTAAAACAGCAGTCATAACTACATAACAAGAGCACAACTGCAGTACAGCTAATAATATAAGTTTTTTATCCTGTGGCCTTCACACATGATGAGATAGGAAGTGAGGGAGCCAGACTAAACCATTCTCCCTCCAGGTGAATACTCACAATATTAAAAGATCTCTTCCAAATGCATAGGAAAAGTAGAGAAAACCCAACAGAAACATAGTCAATGTACATAATGAGAAAATTAATAGAATAAAAATACAAAGGACTGGTAAACATATAAAACAAATTTTATGTTCCGTAATAAAATATATTTATTTTCTATGACAAAAATAGGAATTTTCAAGCACTCCACATTTTGATATCAGATTAGCAAAGCCTTGAAAGGCAGAATAACAGTCCATGTTGAAATGTACCGGATGTCTTTTAGAAAGTCTCATCTCCCTCAGCATTTCCTGGAGCTGGAGTAGTTGAGTTAAAATGTGTTGATTTAAACTTCCTGGATACTGGGACATAGAAAGAGAAAAGCATTCTATATTGGGCCTTGGTCTAGAGTACACTGATCTCTGGTCCTCACTGGCAGCTTTCTAACCATGAGTAGGTCAGTCTCTCCAGGCTTCAGAGTCTTCATTTATGAAATGGTCAACCTGTATCTGGTGAAATAATAATGGTACACAGAGGCAAGGATCTAGCTAAGCGAATCACGTTTCATCTTCATCACAATTCTGAGGCCTGTGTATCATCTGCTTCAGATGCTGTCTAAAAATCTCTTCCCATCCTAATTCTGGACAATTAAGTTTCATAGTCATTTGGATTCTTATTTTTTTGCAAAGTGACTTGAGTTTGTTAAACGGTTTATTATAGGCATTTCTAAAGTGAGAGATAATTGCCCAGTGGATTCAGGAAATGAGACTGCTAATATGGATGTTAGAACTGGTTCTAGTTACACTGATGAACTTGATTCCTAAATTTGCCAGCTATTTATTTCTCTGCTTCCCTCGTGCTCTGCCATCCCGATTCATCTGCGTCCTGCTGGAAGCTCAATTTCAGATGTGTCATAATGCTGACTTTGCAGACACATCTCAGACAGAGGAACGGGAAGGTGATGATATCTGAACAGGAGAGGTGGTTTGTCCCATCTCTGAAGTCCCTTCAGCACAGGTGCCAGTGTGTGTGTGTTTGTGTCTCCTCCCAAATCCATGCTGGAACGGAATTCCCAGTGTGATAGTGTCATGAGGAACAGCCTTTAGGAGGTGATAAAGTCATGAGGGTGACACCCTCAAGGATGGGATGAGCAACCTTACAAGAGGGCCGGAGGAACTTAGAAGTCCTTCTGCTCTTCTGTCTTCCACCCTATGTGGACGCAGCAATGAGGCACCACCTTGGAAGCAGACACCAGATCCTCACCAGACACTGAACCCACCAGCAGCTTGACCTTGACCTTTCCAGGCTCCAGAACTATGAGCAAGCAATGTATGCTGTTTATAAATTACCCAGTCTAGGATATTTTGTGATACCAGCCCAAGCGAACCGAGACGACAGTGTTTACATTGGCCTCTCCCAGAATCATGGAAGGCGCTTTCACATCTGAGTGAAGCACAGCTGACCAGAGACTTGAATTGGGAGTTGGTCATGGTTGGCCTGCTCCGATCCTCTGGAATTTGCAGCAGGTGCAAAGTGTAGAAGGAGCAGTTAAATCTTACTTAAATGAGAAAAGCCTCCAAGATGAAAATGACTCTTCTCAGGGTTTCTATTCTGAAGCACCTGCAATTATGGGAAACATTTTAGACTTCCGTCCAGCCCAAGTCGTAGGAATCCTGAGGACCCAGAGGGTACATGAAGAATGATCGAGGTATGGAAAACTTGAACTTATAAATGTCATCAAGAGAAACGCTTCCAATCAGCTCTAGCTGTGGTTCCTTTGAAAATCCTCGAGAGGAATAAGACCATCTGGCTCTCCAGATGCATAAATCACAACCATGTCTAAAAGACACAGGGACTAAGTGAAATGTGAAAAACATGGTCAATCGCCCCCTTTGTTTTCTCCTCGTGATGCCGAACGAGGCTTCCTCTATGCAGGGGAACCCTGGTTTGGGAGATCAGGAGCTTTGACTCAGCTCCAGTTCTGCACACTCATGTCCTAGGAAATGTGGGGATGGCAACCCCCATCTCTCTGGCTTCAGTTTTTATACCTATAAAATAAACGTTGGACAGGTTGAAATGCTTTCAGCTGTAGCAACACTAGGAGTCTATAAAATACACCATTTGTTTTGTTGTCATGGAGACAGCTTGAAGCTCAATTAACCTTACTCACTCCCCAAAGGACTGACCCTGAGGCCATGTTCCCTGTCAGAAGGCTGTCAGGAGACTCCACAATTGTCTTGGTGAAGGTGGCAGTGGGGAAATGACCTCAGACCACTCTCCAGGCCAAGTGTGCTGCTTTGCAGACATAGGGTCCTGTCCTGTCTTCCTTAAAAGAAAGAATCCTGCCGTCTTTAGGGAATAAAAAAAGAAAAAACCTTGCCTTTTAAATACTGAATAAATGAAGTGTTCAGTGACTAGTTTACATTTACAGATAAGAGTTGTTTTTAAGTTAATCTTTAAATAGGAGTACACAAACATTTTTCCAGGGCCTGTTCCGGCATTGACAGTTTTCAGATCACTTACGTTTAGTGTTGTCTCGATTCCTAAATTCACCAACTATTCATTTTCCTGCTCTTCTCCAGTTCTGCCATCTTGATCCATCTGTATCTTTCCTGGAAGGAACTCAACTTAAATGTGTACTTCTTAAGAGATTTCTTTCTTCCTTCCTTCCTTCCATGAGAGAGAGCCAGAGAGAGAGAGACACCCCAAGAGAGCCTTCACACCACAATCCATCATCCTCAGCCGGCCTAGATCAGGGGCCCGTCTGCACCATATGTGCAAGGTAGCCCCAGGACAGGAACCCAGGATCCCCACACACCACCACCGTCTGGCCCCTTCAATGTGCATTCTTTCTGGCTAAGAATATACCTGTTTCAGTAGGCCATGTCTCCCAACTCTTTTTGTTTGTTTGTTTGTTTGCCCCAGTCAACTTTCTTTCCCTTTATGAGAAACCTGCCTGCCTCTTGATCCCCCTGAATTTTGGGAGGCTCATGGATTCTGCTGTGAAATCTCCAAGCCCCGCACAGGCAGTTCTGGAATGCATCTCTCCTGAAGGATTGATCCGTCAGAGGCAGGAGGGAAGTGTCTTTAGAAATACTGGAGGTTGGCCCAGCTGCAGTGGGAGAAGGGTACACCTGCTCAAACTGGAGCATGGGGGAAGGCCCCGGGTTTGGGTCCCAGGTCCTGCTGGCTAGAAGGCTGGGAGAAGGATCGCACATGACAAGACCCTGTCAAGGTACCTATTCCTCTGTCTCTCTCACACATGCAAAAAAGTAATTAATTTAAACAAAAATAGGTGCCAGGCTTTATCTAGGTGACGGTCAGCTCAGACAAAGGCCACTTATGGCTGACTTGGCTGATTGACCTGCACGAACTTCCTACTCACGTGTGGCACGTGTTATCCATGACAAGAGGAATCTGCAAATGAGAAACGTTGACAAATGTTTATTAAAGCACATCAGACTCTATAGCAAAACATTGAATGGAAAGGCAATGCAAATGGATATTTCCTCTTTCCAAAGCTTTTCCAATATATCTGGGTAAACAAGAGGCCAAAATGAGAGCCAAACATGGAACATGGATATCAACTGTCTTCCTAATTAGCATTGTGAACGCCTTTCTGGTGTAGTTCCCCCAAGCTGTGACTGCAGCTCAGTGAGGGGGAAACGAACTCTGCAGGGTCGTCAGCGTCAGTGTGGGCTTTCATCAAAGTAACGGCAAGGCCTTTTGATTCTAGATGACTGTGTTGTTCATCTTGCTGAACGACTTAGATGGAGGTCAAAGCATCAGATGACATTGATATCCAAAACGCCTTCCATTTCTGTCCATTCATTTATATGCGGGAATCTTCAAAACCGTCACGAAGAGCACATATTATCAAAATCTGTGCATGGATATTTACATTTTTGCATCAGAATAAACTAGTACTGTAATTTCACTTTCCACAAACTTTATGCAGTTCCCTTGCATGAGCGAGTATAAGATTTCTCAAAACTTTCATCTACGACAATAAAAAAATCCATGAAATTGGTATCAAACCCTGTCTCATTTTACCAATAAATAATAATCCATATATAATTATAATATCTTAAAGATACATGAACAAGAACTAAGTCATACTAAAATATTCATTTTAGTAAATCTTTTGCTTTAATTGATAGTAATTTTGAAAGTTGGTAATATATTTAGGTTATATCCATCAATTATGTAGTTACTTCTATCTGTAATAATAAATCTCCATGGAGAATTTTTTTAAATACTGAGTCTCATGGCTTCAGAAAACTTTGAGAACAAATTTAAACTCATGTGTGTGTGTATATATACATGTGTATATATGTATATATGTGTATATATGTATGTATATATACACACACACACACATATTGGGTTGTCAGAAAAGTCAGAGTGCATTTTTGCATAGAAAAAAATACATCCTGACTTTTCTGACAACCATATATATATTTTTTTTTTCTGTTGCAGAAACATACGATACAATGATCAAAAAGGTACTTTTAAGCCAGAACATAATAATATTGGAATCAATGTTAGGGAAGTGGAACGGGAACACAAGATGAAAATTATATGTAAAATTCCCAACTGTTAAAGAAGCGTTGGTGCTTCATAATAAATTTTAAATGTCAGTTTACATGTCAGTTTATAATGTGAGACATTTAATAATATCAAATATTTACAAATTATCTTAATAGGTAAATGAGCAAAGTATTTCTCTAGTTGTTCATCTATTATTGAATGGAGACCAGTCTGAGAAGGTAGGCTGTTATTCAAAGCTCCAGATGGAATAGCTCTTGTGGGGTCACATAGCAATGTATAGACAATGTGTAGCAATGTATAGACAGTTCCTAACACGCTATTTTTTTCAGGGCTGTGGTCTTTGTACACACCTTCTATCCCTAATTGCTTTGCCTTCCAATCACAGCTTAGACTTAACTCTTTTTTTTTTTTTTTTTTGGAGGATTTTTGCTATAGGGTGTACGTGCTGGAAAGACAGAGAGACAAAGCAAGAAATCACCCCCGGGGGAATGGCACACTGCAATCCCTTCTCCTCCATTTTCCCCTAAGAGACATACACTCTGACCTGGGAACGCACACGTGCCCAGCATGAGTTTAAGCCACTGGGTCCGGGACTCGAACCGCGGTCGACTATGTGGGAGTCCAGTGACATAGCCATTATGCCAACTGCTGGTCCCTAGACTTGTCTCTTAACACCCCATTACAATTGGCTCCTAAGCCTGTATCGAATGCTGTTCCAATGAGTTCTTACCAGCTGCACTACTTCTTTCTTGTGAATTCTTTAAGCCACAGTGTCAGTGTCTACTGATTACTCTGTAGCCTCTCAGCCACAGGCCTCATAGGCAGGAGCTGCTCACCTCTGTATTGCTGGGCCCTAGCTGGCCACTTAGCATGTTCAAAATATTTGTTAGGTGAATAAATGAACCAATTGATCTATTTTACTCTGTTCTCTGTTGCTAAATACCCAAACTGGGTATAAGAATATTGGTTTAGGGACCAGAAGAATAGTACAATGGTTACATTGCTGGACTTCCATATGGTCAACTGTGGTTCGAGTCCCAGACCCAATGGCTTAAAACTCAAGCCAGGTGCATGTATGTGCGTGCCCAAAATCCCAAGAGGAGAATGAAGGAGAAGGGATTACAGTGTGGCTAAATCCCTGGGGGTGAATTTCTTATTTTCTGTCTCTCCGGCAAGTGCACGTGCCCTATAGCAAAAATCTCTCTTTAAAAAAAAAAAAAAAAAGAATACAGCTTATTTAGCTCTTGGTTTAGAGGGCCAAAGTCACGGGCCATATCTGGTGCAGGTCTTCCTGCTGGTGGGAAACATGGTGGAGGACATCACAGGTTGAGGTCAGAGTGTGTGTCTACGTCCAATCTCTGCATCATTCTCTCTCCTTATAAACCCACTAGCATTCAGTCCTGGGGACCCCACTCTGATTGAGCACCTTCTAAAGGCCCCACCTGTCAACACCATAGCAGAAATAAGTCTCCATCCTCTAAACCCTATTACTATGGCTTACCACATTCTAACATATGACATTTGGGGAGGGGGGGAGAAGACATAGTCAATCCATGAATTTTGTTTTAATTAAAGATCTCATAATCAGAGCCCAAGTGTGGAGGATAACCTCCCGCAACTTGAAAGGCTCGTGTCCATTGTCCATGGAGAGTAATCGCCTCATTTCTGAGGAGATGACATTTAACCTGTCAGTGAATGCTGCAGGTGCCAGGGCATGAAGAAGAGGCAAAGAAGAGCTGATGAAAGAGGCACAGAGACGCTCAGGAGGCATCAGCTCCCAGCTACTCCATCTTCACCTGTCCATATCTGTCTTCATTTTCCCTGGCAACTCAGGCCTGCCTCTGCTTTGACCTCAACTGAATGGATCCTGAACACTTCCTTTCTAAGTGGCCTCTGGTCATGCCCCCAACAGCAGGCTGGCCCGTAGGGGTCTGAAGTGGGAGACAGAAAGTGCCCTTACCCTACAACTGCGGCTCACTCTGATAAGTGTCCAGGTAAAAACTCCCAAAGGCGTTGGCTTATTTCCTCTAGGGCTTTCTGGGTTTGAGGCCTAAGGAGAAGCAGCAGAAATTGATAGAGGCTGAAAAGTCTTGAACGATTGAAAAATACATACATCTTTAATTACAGACTTTGCTTTCATTTATATTCAATTTTACTTTTCTTAATTTTTCTTTCATACAGATGTATGCATCCCCTTTAGCTGGGTGACCTGTAAAAACTGACACCAATGTAACATCTTGCTCTTGTGCTAAGTAATTCTGGGACCAAAATACTTTCCTGCTTCACTGATAAACAGTACTGTCTAGGTTAAAACATCCGAGAGACTTACCCCAGGGAATATTCGTTGCGGGAAGATATGAGGCTGTGAATCAATAGACTACTGCTACTTGTGAATACCAAGACCAGCTCTATAGTTACCAACCCATGTCCTAAGACCCGAGGAAGGCTACCACACCTGTGGCACTGCTTCCTTCCAAGACATCACAGACTGTCAAGACCGTGCTCTGCTTGCGGCCCTGAGTCTAACACACTGAATTTTTCTGGGGGTTTTGGGAGGCCAATGATCACCCCCTGGAGCCCTGAGAAGAAACTAGGATTAGTATTAGCTTACAGGGAGAGGAAGGCGATGAGGGGCAGAACGCAGGCGGGCTAGTCACATGATCAGACCACAGCAGCAGGATGACCAGAGTGCTCCTGAAAACGTTTTCCAGTGCTGAGTTGAGCTAAGTCAAAGAAAAGAACGTTCACTTGAAGAGGGATCAGAAAACAGGCAATTAAAGCGACCTCCAGCCTAGGCATTGGGAAATACCCACCCTGGACACCTGCGTGGAAGGCTGCTGGTACTATGAGTTGTGATCTGTTGGGCTGTCGGGGAAGTCATGACGTACGTATGTTTCTTTTTTTCTGTGTAAAAACGTGTCAGGACTTCCCTACGGCCCAATATTTAACCATTTTACGATTAGCGACTCCTCAAGGAAACGCCTTCCTTCGCCCAAGTTCCTTAATTGGTGATCTGGTTACGTGTGAGAATCCGGCTCTCCTAGAAAGTGCCAGAGCCCCTGGAAATGTGATCGCATCAGAGGTAGTCATACTTCTCGAACTACTGACCTTTCTTTCTAAAAAGGCAAACTCCCACTCCCTCGGCCTGCTGCAGGGCCTCTGCCCATGGCAATCTCTCTGTCTTGAATACTCTACAACCCTAACTGGTCCTGGTTAATTCCACCTTATCCTGAAGACCTCCACAAACTCTATCCTGGCCCCACAGACCCAGTTAGGCCCAAGATACATTCTCTTGTTGCAGGCTTTCCTTCTTGGGAGCACCTCTAAGAATTGCAGCTGAATAGTTCACTGGCTATTTACTTGGTAGGGTCCACTTCCCTCTGCAGGATGTAAATTCCAAGAAGACAGGGACCATGGACAGGCTGCACATCGTACTTCAAGCCTAGTTCACCCCCTGCACATAGCCAAGCACAATAAAGATTCATGCAATAAATGCAATTTCCTTCCTTGTCAACACGGCTTTTAAAATATTTTGAAAAATCTTATTCCCTTTTTAAGGCCAAAGCTGAATGTCATCTCCTCAGTAAATGCTTTTTGACAGCTATCCAACATTTCAATTGATCACTCCTCTGTGTTTCCATACCATGTCACACTTAAGGCATAATGGTACCTGTTTGAAATAATAATAATAATAATAATAATAATCTGGGGGAAAAAAATGGAAAAAAATAGTACCGGTTGGATCACATGAAATTGCTGTTGTTTTGTAAGCCAAGCCATTGAATATTTGTAATGCAGCTGATTAAATCTAACGGTTTACACTTTGCTTCCTCTCGCTCACACATGAACTCCTCAGAAACAAGAATCCGGACCTGAGACGTCGAGTACATAGCCTGGCACACAGTTGGCGCTCAATAAGCGCTGGTTTTAAGAATGTCTGACTGACTGACTCATTGCTCCTCTGGCTCACGGGAAAGTCCGAAGTGACCTTTATCCATGGGATACTTCCCAGTTTCGGTCACTCCCTAGTGATGAAACGCCTTTATGGGCTAAATTCTTTCTTTTTTTTCTTCCCTAGTTTCCAATTGGACACCTTCGCTCAGAGTGAGGGAATTCATCCCTGGCTCACAGAAACCACAAGCCATGGAAAGCTGAGGTTACTGCTTGCTGAGAGAAATAACATCAAGATGGATGAGTTCAGTCTAATGGCTCAAATGATGCTTGCCAGGGGGACTGTGAAATTCCACGGACACCCCCACCTGCCTCCACCCAGCCAGCCAGCCTGCCCCGCTGCTGCCCTTCTCCCCGATGGCCAGCTGTTTAAGGCAAACTGGACCCGCCACCATACACTAATGATTTTGCAGTGGCTAATTGCCTTGCCCACCTACCTGTGATGACAGTCAGGCCTCTCCTAACACCTGTGGCTGGCTCCGCCTCCACACAAGGCTTGAGATCACAGGAGAGACAATAGCTATTGCTGCATTAGCCCTAGTGCATTCGTTCTTCAGGAACCTAAAGCTAGCAGTCTTGCAACTCAACTTCTGTTATTATTGTACTGTATTCTTCCTTTGTTCACGATAAAGCTTATGCATGCACATGTGACAGGTGACTGAGAGTGCGGGAGAGAGATGAGTGCCCTCCACAGGGTCTGGTCCCAACGCAATCCCCTCCTTCCGGTCCTGCAGTCTGTTAGATCTTGGGCATTTACACACAGTCCCCTGGCCAGGGATTCCAACCATGGTCTCCACGTGAGATCTGGCTCGTTCAGAGTAGTACATTACTGCTGTGCCATGGAGATGACCCTGGCAACGGAACTTGCTCTAAGGCACTCAATGAGCTTTAACCACTTACCCTTGTTCCAAAGCCCAAGGCAGCCCCAAGTTTAGAAAAATCTGTCCTGCAAGTCAAGAAATTGCATAAAATATGCATGTAGATAAGAACCCTCCAGAGGTAGAAAATTTAAATTGTCCAACTCTTTGTCACCAGTTTAGGCTGGGGAGAGGTATAGCTTATCATTATCAAACATATCATTTGTTAATGATCATGACATCATAACATCTTGTCTTAAATTGATAATTCAGGTTACATCACTCAGACTCTTCAGGAAAAAAATAGTATATCAATTTTTTTTTTTTTTCAAAAAATAAAGAGTTGTGGGTGAAAACCTAAGCCAAGTATGATGTTGAAAGGTGGGGCTGTGGGAAAAAAGATTAGATTAAGGTATTTAGGGCAGGGTCTCATGACTGGCTCTTGGTGGGTTTAAGAGAAGAGGGAATGAGACCAGGACAGAGACACAGAGACTGTGGAAGCTCCTGACTATACTCTCCATATGATCGACCTGCAAGAAGATCCCCACCAGATGCAGCTTCTAGACCCTGGTCCTCCAAGCCATGAGCTAAATAAACCACTCTTCTTACAAATCACCCAGTTTCAGATATTTTCTGCTTTCAGCAGCAGGGCTGTGGAGAGCAGGGCCACGAAATCACATTCTTAGTAACTAAATGCACTCAGTTTGTAAACACTGCACTCCTCTCTGCTTTGCTGTGTGAGTAATTCCACCCTAGGGCTTTGGGGTCACCCAGGGCTGATGAGCACCTGTTATCTGGGTGGTAACTAAGTCGTAGCCACATTGCCCACAAAGTTTTCTTCCCAAGGTATCATTCAGCATTTCCAGGGAAATTCCAAGGAGCATTGGCTGAGGGTCGTCTGGCCCCCTACTCTGCCCAGCAGCTCGTGGAATGAAGGCCATCCTGACTCAGCAGGATGAATTTCCCAAAAAATAAAGAGTTGGGTGAAAACCTAAGCCAAGTATGATGTTGAAAGGTGGGGCTGTGGGAAAAAAGATTAGATTAAGGTATTTAGGGCAGGGTCTCATGACTGGCTCTTGGTGGGTTTAAGAGAAGAGGGAATGAGACCAGGACAGAGACACAGAGACTGTGGAAGCTCCTGACTATACTCTCCATATGATCGACCTGCAAGAAGATCCCCACCAGATGCAGCTTCTAGACCCTGGTCCTCCAAGCCATGAGCTAAATAAACCACTCTTCTTACAAATCACCCAGTTTCAGATATTTTCTGCTTTCAGCAGCAGGGCTGTGGAGAGCAGGGCCACGAAATCACATTCTTAGTAACTAAATGCACTCAGTTTGTAAACACTGCACTCCTCTCTGCTTTGCTGTGTGAGTAATTCCACCCTAGGGCTTTGGGGTCACCCAGGGCTGATGAGCACCTGTTATCTGGGTGGTAACTAAGTCGTAGCCACATTGCCCACAAAGTTTTCTTCCCAAGGTATCATTCAGCATTTCCAGGGAAATTCCAAGGAGCATTGGCTGAGGGTCGTCTGGCCCCCTACTCTGCCCAGCAGCTCGTGGAATGAAGGCCATCCTGACTCAGCAGGATGAATTTCCCAACTGTCCTTCAGACGTGGACACTGGGCAGGGCTCATCGCTAAGGCGCAAGTGTGTCACGATGAGACTCCATAAACCAACCCTTCCCCATAAGCCTCCTCCAGGCAGGCCTCAGGCCTGGACATTGTTATGTGTATGCCCACTAGAGCAAACAAAATTACACTTTTCTGTGTTTAAATTACCATTTAAGGTGTTGAAGGTAGGGCCTAATATTCTTTCCTTCCTTCCTCTTTTCTTCTTGTTCTTATCATCTTTTTTTTTTTTTTGTAAACCCAGGGGATGTTATGATCAGAGGTATTTTTGACAGGTCACATCATGTCACAATCCTTCCTGCCCCAGCCTCAGAGCCAGCCAGCCCCACAGGTGTGTGCCACTGTGCCCAGCCTGTCTGAGCAGGGCCTCCCAAGTGGCCTCAGCCATCGCGCAGCGGTGTCCTCCTGCTCATGCCAGCACAGCTGGGCCACCCCGTCCTTTCGTTTATTTGTTCATTTTGGGGGATATTTTTGCTACAGGGCACATGTGCTCATCAGAGAGACAGAGAGAAAGTGAGAAATCTCTCCCCGGGGGGATGGCCACACTGTGATCCCTTTTCCCCCATTCTCCTCTCAAGATTGTGGGCACTCACACACACACACCTGGCATGAGTTTCAAGCCGCCTGGCCCAGAACTCGAACCCGGTCAACTACATGGGAGTCCAGTGATGTAACCATGATGCCATCTGCTGGTCCTTCCTTTTATTTTGATCCATTTTCACTGATCCTCATCTTACCTGACTGACAGATCAAAACCTTTGATAACCCTGGACTAGTGAGATCGAAGTTTGGCTTTTGAGCTTGGCATGCAATGCTCCGTTTCTCTCTTTTTTTTAAGTGTGTTTATTTACTTGTTTATTATTCATTCGTTCATTCATTCATTTTGAGAGAACCATCCAACAGGGGCTTGATTCACAGCCCACCCCAGCCTTCATCCAGCCCTGGAACATGGGCATGCACGTACCTGGTGTACTACTTAGGACGAGCTCCACAGTGTACTACCTCTAAGAAACTGATCTTCTTTGCACTGAGATTTTTGTCGTTGTTGTTTAAGGCTTATGCCATGAGTACATGTGCTTGCCAGAGAGATAGACCGAGCCAGAAAGAGAGAGAGTGAGAGAGCACGCGCACTCCCTTCTCTTCCAGTCTCCTCTCAGGATTCTGGGCAAACACGCATACGTGCATGTGCATGCGTGAGCACACACACACACACACACCTGGTGTGCTTTTGAAATTGCTAGGTCTGGGACTCAAATCATGGAGTCAACCATGTGGGAT